TTCACTTGAACTCAAATGAATTCATCTGAATTCAATTAATCTGAATTCAATTGAATTGGACGCAACTAAATTGAATTCAACTGAATTCAATTAGACTCAATTCAAATCAATAGGATTCAATTGAATCTAGGATTCAATTGAATTCAATCGGATTCAATTGAAGTCCATTGAATTCAACTGAATTGAATTCAATTTGAATTCAGCTGAATTCAATTGACTTTATCTGACTTCAATTGAATTCATCTGAATTCAAATGAATTCAACAGAATTCAATTGAACTTAATTGAGAATTCATTTGAATTCAGAATTCAATTGAGATGAATTGAACCCAACTGAATTCAATTGAAATCGCTCGAATTCAATAATTCAATTGAATTCAAATTGAATATAATTGATTTCACTTGAATTCAATTGAATTCATCTGAACTCAATTGAAATCACTTGAAATCAGATGAATTCTACGGCTTCAACTGAATTCTTTTGACTTCAACTGAATTCATCAGAATTCAATTGGATTCAATTGAACTGAATTCAATTGATATAAATTGAATTCATCTAAATTGAATTGAATTCAATTGAATTTAATTCACTTGAATTCAGATGAATTCAAATGAACTCAATTCATCTCAATTAAATTCAACTGAATTCAATTCAATTGAACTCACCTGAATTCAACTGAACTCAATTGAGGTCAAATTGATTTCAACTGAATTCAATCGAATTCATATTTAATTGAAATCATCTGCACTCAATTGAATTCAATTGATCTCAGATGAATTCAATTGAAATCTCGGCTCTTGCTGAAATCATAATTCTGCGCTGGCGTCTGAAGACGAAATCTCTAAATTCTAGGATATCATTATCATTACCATAATCTTCATCAATATCTTAAATTCAATGACTATCATAATCACTATCGCAATCACTCTGTTAATGACAATCGCAATCTCTATCACTATCATAATCATTATTATAATCATGATCACAATTCCTATCACTGCCACTATCATAATCATTGACACATTGATGATGATCATCATCTTTTTTTTTATAATCATTACAATCATTACCTCAAGCATTGCCACTATCACAATCACTATCATAATCACTACCTTAATCACGAAAACTCTCGCGACGAACTGAGGAACTTGCCTGATCAACACTATCCAGGGCCATCAACGACTGCTTCAACTCGCTATCGTTTCGAGCGACTCACGCATCATCCAAGATAGGGATATGAAATAGTTCAAGAAATTATTTTCTATCTATAAGCTTTCCGACTACAGATATATGAAAATTCGCGATTTCAAAACTCACGAGGGCGATACTACGTTCGAAACGATATAATCAAAACATGAATAGATTTCATCAAGAAATATCTAGCAGCAATCAGAGAAAACCCTCTCAAATTCCAGAGAAAATCCGATCGGACGAAATACGTAAATTCTTGAGCATGGTTTTTATCTATGAACAATGCTCAGACGAAACCCAAAAAATCACAAGAATTTCCGACCGGATTAAATATAGAAATTCCTAAGATTTCGTCCGCAGCCAAATCCTCAAAATCTTCAGCATTTCAAATATTTCGTCTATCATTTTCGTGCCGGACGATATCTCTCAAAATCACGAGAATTTATGAATTCCTTCCCGGCTCGGAGAGAGTAGCAAAAGGTAAACGGCTCCGGAGATGTCTTAGAGTTGAAATTCTCGAGATTTTCAAGATTTCGTCCGGAGTAGGATCTCTGCGCAATGCTGATTGCGGAAGAATCTCGAATCATTTTATAGAGAGAAAAATATATTTTCTATATATGGAATATCAATTTTAAAGGTCAATAAACTCAGAAATCCTATAATAATCAATAAATTTGAAATCATAGAATAAATATAACTTAAATGTAATCCTTTCCTTCTTTAAAAAGATTCCACATTCTAAATATTATCTATCGCATATAATAAATTCATTTTAATAAATTACCTTTCAAAATTCCAATCAAAATTTCAAATTGAAATTCCAATCCTTCAAATTTCTTATATATATATATCGATTCTATCCAAACATATATATATATACCTCATATTAATTCTGGCATTTCGAGTTTATATTTTCCAGCTGATGACAATAAATAAAAAATTAAATACAGATTTATCTAAATTTCTTTTATGGAAATTTTCTAAGCCAATTAATCGTAATGGAAGAATAATATTCGAAATGATAATATAATTCAATCATATAAATAATTTGATCTGATAACGATTCAATAACGATTTTTGATAAATTATCTTTTATATAAATTTTGATAGAGGAAATCATTGAAATATCTTTTTCAAAAAACATGGGTCGCATCCTAAATAATGTATGAATATGTGAATGAAACCTATATATATATATTCTATCATATGTTCCCTCGTATTTGTTTTGGAATTGTCATCATTGAGGGCTTCTCCGCTGCAGACTCGGCTGCCATGTTGCAGATTCCGACCTAAGCTGTGTGTCATGCGCCCGAGAACGCAAATGAAAATGGAGACCGCGGTGCTATGTAGGATTTGGGGCTTATGATGTTAAGTGGGGACGAAGGGACTGGATACCAACGATGGTCCCTGAAATTCCTTGAGATGGTCCATTCAGCCCATTCATTTCAGAACCCAGTAAGCACCAGAGAGTTGTCATTTCCATCGCAAAACTACCCAAACCTCTAGTTTTTGATTCCGAACTGCATTGGAGAGACTGGGTAGGTGTGGAGTATCCAAGGTTTTGCAAGGTTAACCTTTTCATTAGTTTAACGTGGGTTTATGCAATTACAAAGATTTGCAGAATGCCCACGGGACAGGTGGAATCATGATAGCCGCTAAGCTTACTGGCTAGTCGAGAATGGAGATCCTATCACACCTTCTTCCAATGCCTGAAGCCCACATTTCTAAATTTCTTCATGACCACCTGTATCTGAACTCTTGCCAACAGCAAGGTATGACAACACTACAACAGGCAGTGGTTGTAAGGGTCGTGCTAGTAAGTGCGGCGGCTATAGTGGGTCAGGTAGCAGTGAAGTGGTGGTTGGGGTGGGGGTAGGGTGTGGGGGGTCATTGGGGTGGTGGCGGCGCGGCAGCAGTGGTGGTTAACGGGCAATATTTCCCATAGAATTAGTGGACATGGGTCCCTATTGATGAGTATACTAAGGCTCCTTACAGGGACGATACTACGATACTGAACTACCAAAACGGCCTCCATGTCAACCCTCCCTGGTCCCGTGATAACCCTGCTATCACAGCAGCCCCTTTGAGGGCACCTGCTGCTTTGGGGTCCTCCGAAACGGTAAGCCCCGAGACCCAAATCTTGACACGTACCCCAGCTTCCGCCTTTGCCATTGCCAAACCACGTCTCGTGAAACTCTGCTAACTTCTGGATGTCTGATCTGACGCTTCGAGCGGGCTCCTGACAGTATTTGTTACTGGAATGTCTCAAAATGTGTGAAAGCCTTTGTATGCTGCCAAATATCAGCATGCCTGTGCTAGCGCCCCTTCAGCAAACATTGTTTGAGAAACCGTCGGATAACAGCTCCCATGTCTTTGTGAAACCAGGCAAGTACAGCCTTTTCAGAAGATGACCTGTCCAAAAAGGACCCTTTGTGTTCGGCAGAGCCTTGGACACTTCATTTCACAGCTGCAGCAACTGCAACAGTCAGACGCATGGTAGGGCTACGGGCGGACAGTGCCCTGTGAACTCAGCACATAACTATGAGAGCGCAGGCCTCTTCCAGAAACATGAGTTGCTTCACTGTTCTACAATGTTTTACCTGACTCCGAGTTTGTGGAGGTCACTTCATCTCGACGTTTCGGATTACATCTGTAAGTCTGTGAGCTGCTAGAATCCCATGCACATATGTCGTATCCTGAGCGGGCGCAAGACGGCTTTCCAGAGTCTCCAAGCTCTCCGACTTCCTCCGCATGCCATTGGCGATCGTGCTTGCTGAATTGTAGGATGTGGGGGCATATGACATGATTAATTCGCTTCTATGGCAAATGTCAGTCATGCCTGCAGGTTGCTCTTAGATCGCCAATTCAAGGACGGGACCTCTGACTGGCGCTCAGAAGTAGGAGCCGAACTTGGATACTGCATGAAATGGCACATCTCCACCTTCCGCACTACTCCGCCAGTAGTCCTTGCTAATGAAGGTCGCCACCCAGGCAGAGGCCCCGCAGCTCCTTCGGGCTTGGGGCTTCCCCCAAAATCTTTCAGCAAATGCTTGTGTCGTGACGACGGGCCTCGGCAATGTTCGCAAAATAGAGGAACAAAATTGTTGGAGCCGTATTGGAAAAGGAGACCAACATAGGAAGCCCTGTTCTGCAGTTTTGGGTTCTCGCCCCCCCAAACATATCCTGAATGCTTAGCCTCTTGTGCAGAGAGGCCTCAGGTTGAGACGCGCTTATCTTCGATAGCAAAGTGCTGGAATCTGCACTTTAGTGTTTTTCCACGTTTGACACAAAAATTTGTCTTCATCATAAGCAAATGTGAGTGAGAGCTAAGCCCAAACCTCCGACCAACAACTTACTTCAGCTGCATGAAAGTATCTTGAATTGCCCCCATCAACATTCATAATAAACCAGTGAGACAAAACAAGCTCGCCTCTCGGCTGCGCTTTCACTGCTTCAGAATCCACACTGCTGGGCACCTCGGTTGAGTTCTGTTTTGGGCCTTCCTGACAGATGCGACGTCCCTAGACCCCCAAAATACTAGGGTCATCTTGAGACGATCCTACGAGTAAGCGCCAGTAATCAGGTTGCGAGCTCTAAATTGTTGAAAAACATGTCACTTGCTTTTTGCGCCTGCAGGGCCAAGCGTATGATGTACAGTGGCATAAGCATGTTGGGGCGCGGAATTATCTAAGGATCTACGTGAGCATGGTTCTCAAGGTTGCATGCACGCGTCTTGACTAGATTGTCTTGAGATTAAGCCTGCAAAGATTTCATATCTTGTAGCTGCCAGGTCGGTGCATGCAAGAGTCCGTAGGCGCTTTTGCAGGCGACGACACCGTTGTTGGGACTTCGAGCAAGGCTGCACTGGGACCTCCACACGCGCGCGTATGAAAAGCTTATGGTCAAAGCAAACTTCACCAGCTCTGGAAAGCCTGGCTGTGAGTGCAGCCTGAGACGGTCACCTGCCGATTTACTTGTGGCAATGCTAACAGGCAGGAATCTTTTGGCATTCGCAAACCAAGTGCAGTGAGTTTTGGGAAGAAGCGGCGAAGGATTCTCCATGAGTCCCGTGCACAGACATAACCCCAGCCTAATCTCTTTGGAGCAGCTTGGGTGCCAGCACGGCCATTCCAATTTGCACAGGCGGAGATCGGCCGGCCTGTCCCCCAAAGCTCAGCAGTCTCCTGTCGGTGGCTGTCAGCTGTTGCTTCCAGTGGTGAAGGTGGCGCCCATGGCGGGACCTTGGTTGCCACAGACAGACTGTTGAATGCGGCTAACGTCTGTGAGTAAAGTGCATTGCAGCACTATCTTCTTACATCACCTGGGACCTTGCTCACTAACCTGCCCTCCGTACCAGCACCACTGATCCAGCACTAAGCACTAGTACAGCCAACACACATGTCTAAAAAGACCGCAGCTCCACAAATGTATAAACAAGTCATGTCTGTCCAGCATGTGCGCTTGTCACAGCAGACCTTTAGTGTCTTCATACTGTTTGTCACAATTCTTCAGACGTAAGCCCGGTCATTCGACATCACCAATTGTGGTTCCTGCCCAGCCGTGACTCTCAAGTTGCCATGCCATCGCAGTCCTACACACGTTTACCCACATCTAACCATGTTACGTGCTTAATCGGCAACCTCCACGCCCCCTTTCTAAACAGTAGTGCCGTTGTCATGCTGGGGTACAATATGCAAAGCATTACTTGTGGGGTGGGATTGTAAGGGGAAGGTGGTTTCTGCCTCTTGTTAACTTCTCCGCCCAGCCCGCTGTACCCTTCAAATCCAACAAAACTGAATCTTCCACCGTAAATTCTAAGCCCCGAGCCTTAAACCCTCAATGTTAAACATTACCGAGCCCCAAACTCTGAAACCCCTAGACCCTGGAACCTGAAGTCTAAAGCTGCACAGCTCGCGAGGCCTCCGCAACCTCTGTGCCATCAAGTCGTGGCTTCCACTCAGGATCCTGGCAAAATCGGAGGTTGCCCAAATAGTGACTTCGAGGCTAGATGGCATGATAGGGCTTTAAGGTTGAATGGGTGCCCGACTTCGCTTTTGCTTCAGAGAAAGAGGAACTTCACAGTTGACATTCGGAATCCCAAAGTGCAGTATTCACAACGAAGGATTGATGTTCGGAGGCTGCGGTGCCTGCCTTCAGACTAACTAACAGGGCGTCAAAAGTTTGTTGCGGCTGCTTTTCCAATGCTGCGAGGAGGTAACTTATTGATCAGAGACACTTAATCCAGTGATAGCTGCCTGATTGAGCCACTTGTTAAAAAGACCCGCAGTCAAACAGCCCTTACGTTTGCAGGGGCCGTGGCTGCCCTCAACACAAGCAAGGAATCAGCAGCTGTTGAACCACTCCGACTGACAAAGAGCAGCCCTTTTGACTGTGGGTCTCAGTGGGCTCTTTGCGGTGCAAGGCATGCCTTTGGCAACCCGCCGCGCAAATGAGACAGCTAGAATAACGACAGTAACTTAAACCAGTTTTACTCAAAAATGGAGCTGCCAAGAAATTCGCAGGCAATGCTAGTTGGAAGCAGCTCATACTCCGAGACAGGCCAGGCTTCAGCCCAGCTAAGATAATTTGCCAACTCACGTTTGCGCCACTGCACCACGGCGTCGGTACTGGTGGCGCTCTCCTGTCGATACAGCCCATCCAAGCTCCGGCTCCCGACCACCAAGCCCCCCCCAAACATGTCCAGGCTTAAAATGTCAAAGGCAACCTGCCTAGACCCTGGACTCAGATGGAACAGTCCCTCTTTCCTACAAAGAGTTAAAAATTCACCCGGATCAGTATCTAACATAACTTCCATGTCCCAGGAGCCACATCTGCCCCTATCACCGCTTTCAAGGCTGGCAGCCTCAGAGCAGAAGTGTCCCGAGCGGGTAGCTGTCCGTTGAAGGCTTCGCGTTGAAAATCGAAACTGCACAATACAGCCTTTCCCGAAAACCATCTCCACGTTCTCTTTCAACATCAAGGGAGCAAGAACCTATCAATGACATGTCCAGCAAGGCCCGGCAAGGGTTGTTTTCTCATATGCTGCCCGGGTGTCTCGTAATGCAGAGTCGAGTCGAAAATGACGTCGGCTTTCCCGGCATATGGGAAGATGTTGAGTTGCTCCCCTGCAGAGACCTTGACTTCTTTGTTAACATTGTTGGCACAAGTAGAAATACTCAGCTGGAACCACTGATCCTTCATCATTTCATCATCACGAAACCCCAGTTCAAGTTGCTTGTGGGCCGAGGGCAGCTTCTTGACTTTGTGGTGGGCAGGACATGGGCAGTACACCAGAATACTCGATGGCATGCCCTTAAGCCCTCCACTCTGAAGTGCATGATTAATTGCCCCGCCTGTGCACTTGACCCTCCTCATCCAATGCGCAGTTGGAGTGTATGCGTGCAAGGATTTTGAACAGTTAGGTCTACTTTTCAAGTTGATCTCAGGTTCTAGATCGTGGCTCCTCTGAGGCATTGTTGAGCTGGAGCACTGGACAAGTATGACAAAGGAGCTAGTTACGATTTGCCACAAACAGCTGATGTGCCACACCACTGAAAGTTTGCCCTGAAGCTGCCAGCCTCAAGCTGATGCTCGATGAACCGACTCTGATTCAAATCATGCACAATATATCCCGGTCCCACGTCCCCTTGCCCTTGGCGAAGCGGCTGATGTGAACCTGGCAGGAAGGACAACACACAAGTTCCAGATTGTTTTGGGGAGGCGTGCATCCTGTTGCCAACAATGCAAAGCGATCAGTAAGGGGTGCAAAGGGCACCTGAATGCTCTTTTCTTGAACAAATCTGGCAGGTTTTAGACGGTGGGCAAGGATCATTTCCATAGGCTCTGGACAGTGAAGTGTGGTTCACTCTGGCACTTCGGTAACACAATGACAATGACCCAACAGATCACGCAGACTGTAGGATTAGTATGGTCAGTGGCGGCTTTGGAGAACTTGAGAAATTGAAAAGTTTGAAGCCCCAGGCACTTGTGCATCACGCGCGCCGCGTCCACGCCGCGGCTCCGCACGTCGCGTCCGATGCGGCGCAGGAGGCGGAATTTCCGCTCCTAATAACGAACTCTCCAAAGACTGAAAACCAAGCCAAACTAATGTTCATACAATACTGGCGCCTTAAATGACTCCAGGGCTGATTTGGGCCTGTGTAGGAGACCTGTTTGCTTTCAGCAGCGTGTACTAACAGGGCATCTCCCTCATGCTTTGGGCGAGTGTCTGGCACCAGGCAAAGATTTCCCAGTCGTGATCCGGACCAGGGTCCAATGAGCACCTTTGAGGCCACGGAAGCCAAACCCCTCAGAAAGATCGCATAGAAGGGGTAAAGGAAGGTTGGATACTGATGCATATGTGCATCTGTAAACATATGCATACGGTTCAAGGTTTAGGGCTTCCAAGAAATAGGTGCTGTACGGGAGTCCTGGAATGAGGACTGTAATATAATCAGTACCCCGTATATTGGAGACTACCACATGCCAAAGCGTGAATGCTCAATCTCTGTACTAGGGCTAGATTGTGGGTTTTGATGTGGGGGTCAATTTTCAAATCTTACGAAGCCCTGTGGCTTATGCCAACGCAGCATACACAGCTTGAATGTCGTGCCCGGCCACTTTGAACAAGGACACGTCCTCGAAGGCGGCAAGGAACTTAGGATGCAAACCGAAGATGCCCTCGATGATGAGAACAGCGCTTTCCGGCAGCTTGAGGATGTTTCCCGTATTCTCCTGGGTTCCAGATTCCAGATCAAAAGGCATGTGAACAGAATGGACAGGCAATCCTTGTCTGCAAACAGCAGACAAAAGTCCAAAAACTTCCAGACCGGACAATGCACCTACCCAAACCTTGGAACCAACAGTCCGGGAGAAGTCGGAAACCCTGCGCGGGCATTGCCCGAAGTATGGGCCCCCCTTCATATACACTAGTAAACCTATGATCCTTGGAATGGCCATTGCTTGTAAAGGGTCCAGCTCAGTTTTGATAAACTCTTAACCCTAAGTATCCTCTACAGGCTTACCGGCCCCTATCACCCTTTGACTGCTCCAAGTGGGAAACCTCAATGTGCAGAAATCTCAAAGCGTCAGCCCAACACAGTTGAATTTCCTTGTAGTCCCCTAGCCTACTGACCCCTTCTGAAATAACGGTTGAAAGACCCATTAGCTCAACTTCCCGCCCAGCTCCTGTATCGTGCCCGTCTTGAAGCAAAACTTTGGAAGCTCCACCGGCTTGCCAGCCATCAGAGACTCAAGGTCCTTCAAAAGGCAAAGATGTGGCGTTCTCAACCCTATAATGGAGACCGGACTGTATCATTTCGGGCTATGTAAGGGACTCTAATGTTGAGAAATACTCGGATGAGAACATGCGACCCCTCATACTCCAACCACCAATGGCCAAGAAAGTGCCAGTGCTTCTATTCCGGGGCAGCACGTTGCCATTCATGACCTTTGTGGTCCTGACACGGGTTCCCGAGCATTTTAAGACCAAAGAGCTGAACCAATCCAATGGATTCTGTATGTGCAAGGGGTTTTGCGCCATCCTCGGCTCTCAGGCTGTCGGGCCTGCTTGATCTTGTCGATGCGGAGAGAGTCGGGGTCCTCATCAGGTCCGCTTGTTCACGCATGATTGAGTTCTGAAGCTTTTGGTGCGTGAGAAAGTCATCTAAATTGCTCCTGAAGGCATGGGTGAATGACCTATCTGTTCTCATACGCTGCGTTGTCAGAATTGCAACGGGCCTGACCCTGTGTACTGGAAACCATGTTCTGCTGGCACATGCGCGGGCCCGTCCACCGCGACACTTTGAAAAGTGATTCAGCGGGAGAGGTTAGCGTAAACATCAGGAAATCATGGATTTTCAACTTATTGCAATTCTTACTTGGATTTTCAACTTTTTGCAATTCTTACTTGGAAGTTCCTGCCAGCAATGCCCTCTAACCCGAGCAATGGTTTGCCTCGAAGTTGAGCTCGCCTTTGGCATCGCGGGGGTGGGTCGGATCTGCCCGTGCCTTGAAGTACCTGAGAGGCACTGAGAGGGAGATGACAACAGTAGCAAGTACATGCCAAGGCCTTGCAAGGCCTGGTAGCTGGCAAACCTGTCAACCTAGGAACCATCATGGCCAACATGACGTTCCACGTTCAGACCTCCACGACGCTGTGTTCCCGTATGCACAACACTGCTCAAGTGCTTGTCAACGGCACATATCACACTCCAAAGGCCGCGCGTCGCAGCCTCGTGCCTGCAGGTGCAGCGCAAGCCGCGCGCTGAAAGTCGTTTTCCTGAAGTTGGGATCAAGACATGCTGCCAGTCTGTCTGCCTGCTGGGCTTCTGTTGCCTCCTATATGTCTAAGCTGGGCAAGTGCGTCACTGCACTCTGCCAGAAGCTACATGGTATTCTTATGCTGAAAGCCCAAAGGCCATGTGCGCGTTCCACAAGACAAGGAAAAAGTCCTTTAAACCTTAGTACTTCCCTGGCAACCGTAGCATTACATGTAACTCATGTGCTGCTGCCTTTCCATCCAGCAATATCGCATGTAAGTGCTGGCCTGGCAAACCGCTGCGACCCTGAGTTTCTAAGGCTTTGGAACCCAAGCCGCAACACAACCCGTACATGCCCAGCTGTCACAGGAACTCAACACGATGGAAGACACTTTCATGTGCAACTTCAGGAATAGTGCATGGTAGCTGTATCCTGATACCATCTGAAATTCCTCAGATACAGCAGCTCTGCAGCCCCAGCATCCCACTGGAAGATGGCCCAGCCACCACTACGACGCAAGACTTTTCCTGTGGGGTGAGAGGAACAAACAAGCATGTGCTTTTTTTTGGGATCCTTTATCCAAGGATCCTCCAGTTTTTGGAGGTTAATGGGCTTCTTTGAGAAACGGTGGTTGATTCTGCGTTTCGGTTACGTGCTCAGGCTGCAGTAATGCTTGAAGATCTACTCAAATAAATGGCCCGGGT